CTGTGGCGTGGTTTGTTCATGGGTATGCATAGACCCACTTCATCAGCTGGCACACGGTGGGGTGGTGGGGGGAGTGGGGAGCTTGCATGCCACACCTCATTTGATGGCACCATTCCACCAAGTCGTGGAAATAGGAGCCAACTACTGACTTAGATTGTGGGATGGATTTCTGCGGTTTATTAGATCAGCATAAACTGTCAGGCCAGAGCAACAACCCCTTCTTACAGGGGAAGTCCGATCCAGAGTGTGAAACAAGCAAGAGACAGAAGACCTTGGGATCAGGGAGGGCCGGGAGAGCCTGGCGCTGGTGATGCCCCCGCCTTGTCCTCTCTTCCAAAGAGAATGCAAAACTCATGACCAGAAAGCCCCGTGCCGGCCACGGCCGGGTTGTCCTTTCTTTGATGATACAACTGCCGGTAGGTCAAAGAGCTCAACAAAATTAGTCTCCTGTCCATAGATGACAGAATCGGTACACACACCTGTGAATGGATGGGTGGACAAGAGGACTGTAAAAAGCTCCAGGGAAAATGGAATTAAAAGATAATGAGATTGTTCCACAGACCACCTGAAGCCCCTCGTGCATTATCCACAGATACATAGACGCATGCACACACACCAGTATATTCAGGAGCAGTCCGTGGTCCGTGGCCCTTGTGTCAGCGGTGTCCGTGTGTGTCAGAATAGACCTGGGCTCCCTCGGATAGTCCCTGGCAGTGACTGCTCAGAAATGCATCTCTCGGTCTTTCTTCCGAGGCTCCTCTGAGTGGACTAGGAGCACCAGGCTCTCTGTCCACAAGGAGGGAGTTCATTGCACGCCCCACCCGGGGACTATCGCCAGTCCTCGGGGCTGATCACACAAAGGGCCATGGGTTTGAACCCACCAGTCACTCATGGGGACAAAGATGTAGCAGCCTGCTTCCATAAAACCCACCGCCTCGGATACCCGTGGGGCAGCCAACTCCACCCTCCGACTCACGACGACTGGGGATCAGCTCCCAAGCACAGAGTAGCACCGTGAGGAGAGTGAGAGCGGACCCAAACCCACCTCCACAGGGTCCATGCCAACTCAGAGCAACCCGATTGGGAACCGCCAAGGGAGAGCAGGCAGCCTACTTTCTCTCTCCTTTGGAGTGGTGGGTGGGTTTGAACCACTGACCTTGTGGTTAGCAGTCCACCACCTAAGGCAGGTGAGGGTTCCTTAAAGAGAGAGATACACATGCACATATTTCTGATGATTTCTGGAGAGTCAGACCCTCGCATTCATATTCCTCTTCTGCGCAGGTGGATCAGCAAGACCCTCTAACTCAGGTGTTGTCCCCAGGCGGGTCTGCCCACATACAGATAGGCTGATCTGATGAGAAAGAAGCTATCTCAACCTTCACATTGACGTTGGCTTTTTACGCATACTGTTGCAAAATGTAGCGATGTCATTTACTGTTGTTACATTAAGACTGTTACCCATGCTACACCATGCTTCAAGACATTTCATTTATTTGTCATTAGAAATCAGTATTTCATAATATAGAATTACATATTGTTTTGTGATGAATCACCATGCTTTAATGATGTTCAATTTGTAACAATGAAAATACATCCCGCATATCAGATATTTACATGACGATTCATATAACAGTAACAAAACGACAGTGATGATGTAGCAACGAAAATAATTTTATGATTGGGTGGTAACTACCACATGAGGAACTATATTAAAGGGTGGTGGCATCAGGAAGGTTGAGAACCAGCGCTCTAACTGAAGGATCGCCTGTTGCCTGCCCTCCATCCAGGATCAGTGGGGGTCCGCCTAACCCCTGACCCCAGGGTTGGCTACAGTGTTTGATTCAGGCATGTGCTCCAAGCCACCCCACACTGAGACAATGGTGACCTCTCCCAGGACGTGGGTGAGCCTGTCTGGGGAGAAGCTTAGTCCACAAGTGGCTGAGCCAGTGGGCAACATCTTGGCCTTGGAGGAGGAGCCTGCCAGAGAAAAAGGGTGCCCGGGGAAAGGCGGGTGAGGGGCCGGTCACGAAAGACAGTGGCTGAGCAGCCAGCCTCAGACCAGTGGTAGCCCATTCCGGGCTTTTACACAGAAGACTGTGGCCCCCTTTAGCTCATGTTTCCTTAGTGCAGTGTCCAAGGGGACAAAGCCACCTGACAGTCACCCAGCAGCCTCCACCAGGGCACAAACTCATAGGAGACCTGGGCCAAAGCACTGAGCAATGATCACCACTCGTTAATCCTCCAGCATCACTCTCCTACCCTTTTCCCGGCAGTAGAGACCACCTTCTACCACCCCAACCAAAAGACCAAGCCTGCTGCCGCTGGGTGGATCCCGGTGCATTGGGACCCTCTAAGATGGGCAGACCTGGCCCCAGAGGGCCTGCAAGATTCCATCTTCCCTACAGTGGCACCGTCGGAGAAAGGGAAGGCTGTCTCCCCCCTAGGGATTCACAGCCTGGGACCCCTCCCAGGGATGGTGGTGCAGGAGAGCGGACCCCGAGGCAGTGGTTCTATCTCTGAATGGACACAGACGCAGACCCTGAGTCGCCCCTTGCCCACAGAGCTGCTGGTGGGTTTGAACGGCCTGCCTTTCGGCGAGCGATATTGCTTCACCCCTGTGTCCTGGGAATCCTTTCTCCCACTGTGGACGGAGCCTGGAGTTCACCCTGGTGCTCCTTGTCCCAGACCACCTGCATCCGCGGCTCCTCCTTGTGATCCAAAGGGAGGGCTGCCAGGGGCCCTGTGACAGATATTTAAAGGGTGTGTGAAGAGGTGCCCCCTCTCCTGCAGCTTTGGGCTCTGCTGGGTGAATGTGGGATGTCAGACATGGCTGTAGCCATCTGGTGACCATGAGGAGCCCCCTGGACGAGGGCAGCTTGCAGACCAGGCGTCTCGTGGTGCGGAGAGACACCTCATGAATGGCATCCTGGGAGCGGTGCTTCTGGTGTAACAGGCCTCACAAGCAGGGCACCAGCTCCCTCCAGATTGGTGGTTGTGTAAGTCAAGGTGGACTAGAGAAACAAATTCATGGATACTCCTATGTGTGTAAGAGAGTTTTATACCAAAGAGTAATCATATATGGAGAAAATATCCCAGCGCAGTCCAGATCAAATCCACAAGTTTGATATTATTAGCCCATATGTCTGATACTAGTCCATAAATTCCTCTTCAGACATAGCACATGCAATGATGCCAAATGCAGGAAGATCACAGGGCGGGTGGATGCAAAGTCTTATGGATCCAGTGGCAGTGGAAGCATCTCAATGCTGGTTTGGGTCGCCACGTGTCTCCTCCAGCTGAGTGTCTCAGCAGCAGGAAAGGGAAGACAGAGGGAGTGTGTGTCCCACCTCCAGTGAGGAAGACAGCAGTTCCCAGAATCCTCAGGAGAAGGCCATGCCCACACAGAGCCCTCATTGGCTATGACCCGATTGACAGGCTAGGCTCCACCCCTTCACTCAAGTTGACAGGAGACTCTGTAGCTGCCACAGTGGTGGTGTGTGATGAGGGCACCTTCCTGTATAAGAGGGAACTGGCCATCTGTGTCCCTAACAGATGAAGAGGAGAAAGCCCTGTGTGGTGCACAGGTCGACCCTGGGACACCAGGGTCCCCGGGAGGTGGAATCAGCTCGAGGGCAGCGGGTTTGGTTTGGGGGCGGTGTTGCAGTTGTGTTGAAGTGGGTCACGGTGCATTAACTCCCAAGGCCTCCCCCGCTTGGGCTGCTCAGGACCAGGGAGTGTGTAGGCAGCAGACGCAGACTTCCAGGAAACCCACTCTCGGGTCCGGTGAGTTTGCAGACTGGATGTTCTTTCAACGGACGGAAGGGGTGATGGACAGGACGTGGAGTTCAGGCAGGAGGCAGCTGGGTCACTGGACCAATTATTCTCTAATGGAGGCTTTTAGCCACTCGACCGGAGGCACTTCTCTCGCTTTGAAAGAGATCCTCAAAGCCAGCCAGCCTGCAGTTCTAGCTGGGGTTGTCTGGGGTCACCCACCAGCAGACAGCGCTCGGCACATCACCCCACTGCAAGAGCAGACTCGTCCCAGGCACCCTGTGCCTCAGGCTCCCTCTACCCACTTCCCCCTCCACTCAGGGAGTGCCCCAGCGAACCCTCCAGACCAGACTCAGAAAGAGAACAAAGAGATCAGGGTGGATGGTGCCGGGGGACCACGGCCTTCAAATCCATTCGGACTCCTGGCCACCCGACAGAACTGCTCCTGTGGGCCTCAGAGACTAACTCTTTAAGGGAATACAAAGCTTCACCTTTCTTCCATAGAGCGGCTGGAGGCTTCAAACCACTAGCCTTGCGATTAGCAGCTCCACTTGTAACCCACTGTGCTACCAGGGCTGCCTCCAGTCACCTCTGTTTGGCTCATGATCTCTGCACCTCTTCACTTAAGCTTCTCTTTCCCACCCGCCTGCCACACTGCAACCGCAAACAATAACAACAATAATGATAACTTAAAATACAGTTCCCAACCCCACACTGGGGTGCGTCTGAGCTCAGGGAATCCTGAAACTGTCAGGAACGGGGCTGTGAAGCTGGCCGTGCAAATGCGCCAGTGGGACGCTTGTCTCTTCGGCGGGCAACTTCATGTCATAAAAAGCAGGCCTTCCAAGAGGCTGGTTGCAGTTGCACCCCATGCTGAGAATTTGCATGTCCACCCCAGACTGACTCAACATTCTAACACGACCCCCAGGTGGTTCTTAAGTCTACAAAAGAGCTATATGAAGAGGCATGAGTGTACACAGCCCCCAACCAAACCGAACCCACTGCCGTCGTGGCCTCTGCCTCACAGAGACCCTCCCTGGGCAGGGTGGTTGGGCTTCATCTTTCTCCCAAAGAGCATTTGCTGGGTTCTAGCTGCCAACCTTGCCTTTGGCAGCCCAACGCTTAGCCCACCGTGCCACCAGGGCTCCTGACGTACCAGCAGAGTAAGTCACTATTTCCCCATCCACCCCCACGCTCGCTGCCCAGGAGCCTGAGAACCTGGAACTCACCTGCTCTGCGGGTCGGGACGGTGGCCCACGCAGGTGAGGGTGGCCGTGGTCTGGTCACTGCTGTTATCTATGTCCTCCTGCACAGCCCAGCGGTCCTCACTGCTGACCCTGACCGCTGTGATCTTCACTCCCGCTGCAGCCTTGATTCTGTCGGGGAAAAGAGAAGACACATGAGGCCGGTGTGGTTCCCACCTGGGGACAGAATTCACCGCACAAGCAGACCACCAGGATCAGCAGGTTAAGGGAGCTCAGGAGGCTAGAGGGCAATCGCCCTGAGACCCCTGCTGTCACCAGCATCCCAATGCGGGCCCAGTCAGGCTAAGATCTGGAGAGATGGTCCAGACTTGGCCCACCTACTTTGGACATGCGGTAGGGAGAGGTCAGTCCCCAAAGAAGGGCGCCATGCTTGGGAAAGTGGAACGGCAATGAGGAAGAGGAAGGCCCTGACGAGACGGACTGACACAGCGGCTGCGCCAATGGGCGCGGCATCACCACTGGGAGGCTGTGTTTCCTTCCTGGTGCCTGGGCTCTCTGTGAAGCAGAGCCACCGGACAGCACCTAAAAGCAACAGTCAACCCACCGTGAGGACGGCAGCGCTTCTCAGTCCCCTGAGTCCTGCTGGAGAAAGACTGACCCTGAGGGTGGTCTTGGGGGCTCCCAACCTTGTGGTTAGTATCAGGAGTGAGGTGGTCTTGGGGGGCTCCATGTCTGCCTTTGGGGATGAGGGCTAGGGCAGGAATCATGCACTCAGGACTCTGAACTCATCGGTCCTGTGCCCCCCCCCCTACACACACACACACATATCACTCATCCAGCCCTTGAACTTGTCAGGAGAGTTTCTTTTCTTTTCTTTCTTTCTTTTTTAATGGAATCAATGAGGTTCTCATGTAACAGTTTCTAAACACCTTGTTCAATAACACTGGCTACTTTTTTTCAATTCAAAAGGAAGCAGGAAATCATAAACAGAATGAATTAAGAGTGAGTTAAAAGGGGAAAATAGCAAAGAGGGTGTTAACTTTTAATCTCACTAGATCTGCATTAGTTCACTTCCTGAGCACTCTGTCTGAAGACAGGGCTTTTCAATCCCTGCTCAATAGTCCCAGAGAATTCAGGGGAAGCTGACAAGAGCCAAAGACCCATTTGCAGAGACCCCAGGGGGCCTCCGTCTCCATTCTCTGATGTCTTACGTCTGCTTTCCTACACAGTGACTGCCAGGCCAAGTGAAGTGGCTCCTGGAGAAGTTCAGTATTTCCTCCATGTATCGTGGTGTTGTTCACTGGTCCCGTTCTGAGGATATTTTCTATTCTAAGCTGCGTGGATATTGTGTTTCATTTCTCTTGAATGATGTCCTCGGAGACCCAAGAACAAGTGATGCTGTTTTCATTGCAGTGTTGGGGGCAGGGTCCTGAAAGACAACACGTCCAAAGCATGTGGCGTGCAGCCTGGCCTTCCTTCACTGGAAGCGGCATTCTGGCTGTACCGCGTCAGAAACAGGAGTGTGTTCTCCTGGCCATCCTTGGTGAGGAGAATTTCTTGAGTGGCAGATTCTGGAAATATAATGAGGATCAGACTAGATCAAACAAACAAAAAAATATCACTGCTGGGGAGCCGATGCTGAGAGACAGAGAGGACATGTCCTGCATGCTTCCTACGGCTGCCAATCTTGACGGGAGCTGACTGCTCATCTTTCTCCCACGGGGCAGCTGGTGACTTTGAACCCGACCTTTTGTTTGGCAGTTGAGTGCTTTCACCACCACGCCACTAAGGTGCCTTCCCAGTCTAGACCAGTGAGTCTCAGTGGAGGGGCTGCACACCAAGATGGAGGTTCCCCTCCAAAGGACTTTATTGGGGGTAGAAAAGAACTTTTGTCACAAAAACTAAAATTCCCTGAGCATCTTCTTTTCAGCAAAAGCAGCATCCCATGCTTTGTCTCTATCCATGCATTTGATTCATCCAGGGCTGTGGGTGGGAGTGTGACCTCTGTTCCCATTTGCCACCCCAGGAAAGCAGTTGACATGACACTAGAGACAAACACTGAGGGGTGTTGGCCAGCGGCAGGGAGCTGTGTGCTTTGCTTTAGCGGCTGGTGGTGTTGAACTGCTGGCCTCGTGGTCCATAGGCCAACCCGCCACAGCTGAGCAGCAGAGGACACTTGAGGATACAGAAGGGTCCAGTGATCGTTGACGTTTGAATGAGGCCTGTAGGCCAGTGAATGATCTGGTATCGATGTTCGGCTCCTGGTTTTGAACGTTGTCCTGTTGTTATGTAAAATGCTAACACGTGTGGAAGCTGGGTGGAAGGTATAGGAGGCCTGGTGACACGGGGATTAAAGCCTCCAGCTGGCAACCAACTGTTAGTGGCTTGAACCCAGAGGCCACCCGCGGGAGGAAGAAAGGCCAGGCCATCTGCTCCCACAGAGTGGGTGGCTGGAAACCCTGCAGGGCCAACTCTGCTCCGTCACCTAGGGTTGCTATGCTGTGGTTGACGCCTCAGAAGAGTCGTGGGGTTGAATTCAGGGTTACTGTGGTGCTGTTAGGAGCCATGGAGTAGGTCCCGACCCATAATGACCTCATGCACAACAGAACAAAGCAGTGCCCGGTCTGCGCCATTCTCACAGCGCTCTTATGCCTGCACTCACTGTTGCAGCCAGTGTCAATGCATCTCCTTTTCTCCTTCGATGCCCCTCTGCTATACCCAATCCAATGTCCTTCTCCAGGGACTGAGCTCTCCTGACGACGGATCCAAAGTACGTGAGAGGTAGTCTCACCATCCTTGCCTCTAAGGAGCACTCTGCCCTTACTTCTTCCAAGACACATTGGTTTGTCCTCTGAGTAGTCCTCGGTTCTGTCAATGTTCTTCTCCAGCACCACAATTTGAATGCATCGAATCTTCTACGGACTTCCTTATCCAGTGCCCCCCTTTCACATGCATAGGATGCAATGGAGTGTATCATGGCTTGGGCCAGGCGAACCTTAGTCCTTGTGTTAGTGGTGGGTAGACTAGAGAAACAAATTCATAGACACTCACAAGGGATAAGAGAGAGCAATGATGCTGAATGTAGGAAGATCACAGGCCAGTGGGTGGGGAGTCTTGTGGATCCAGTGGCTGTGTAAACAACTCTGTGCTGGCATGGGTTTCCACGTGGCTCTTCCATCTCAGAGCACTAGCCTAGCTCCATGTGTCTTGTCAGCTGCAATGTCTCCCAGGGAGTGAGCCTGTGTCCCACCTCCAGCGAGCTATTTATCTCCTTAGCGCCTCCAAATGAGGTCATCAAGCTGTGGCCTGATTGACAGGCTAAACTCCACCCCTTCACTCCTAAGTCTCAAATTAACAACAGATGATGTAGCTACCACTGTCCTCAAAGTGGCCGCCCATGGTGTTTTCAATATGGCTTCTCCAACCCCACAGTTCAAATGCATCAATTCTTCGTCAGCCTTCTTGATTCAATGTTAGTGATTGGAAACTCATCCCCCAAATATTAAGACAAGCTTGTCTCCTGTGTGGGAGCTAATCAAACAACTCACAGCAAGGAAAGGGATTGGAAGGTTACTAAACTAACATCATCCGCAAGCATAGCTGGGGGGGGGGATAGGACACGACCTGAGGTCACAACTCTCTCAGGACAAGACTGTTGACATCCTGAAGGCAAACTGCCCAGTCCACACGCCGACAGCTGCCTGGAGCCAGAAGGAGTGTGTCCCGGAGCACCTCCTGGAATGTAGCAGGTGCTCAGTAGTATTTGTGCAATTATAAGAGCTAAGATTTACCGAGGGCCACTACCCTGGGCCAGATGCCTTTCCAAGAGCTTTGCATACATTACCTCATGTTTTACCTGCATTAGCACACTTAATCCTCTTAACAGCACGATGGATAGAAAGTGTTATCCCAGTTTTACAGATGACAAATCTGGAGTCCATAGAGATGAAGTAACTAGACCAAAACCACAAGGCGAGGTCACCGTGGAGTCAGGGTTAAAGGCCCACCCTGGGCTCAGACCCAGCCCTACCGCTGACTTGCATGGCCATGCCGATGCCTCTTGTCTTTCAAAAGAGAAATAAATGAGGGTGTCTATAGTGGGATGAATATTAACTTGGGTAAAAAAGGAAGGAAGATAGATAAATTGATAGATTAAGTAGGTAGATCATGGATGGGTGGATGGGTGGATCAATTGAAATATTATTAATAGACCAATGAGATAGATAGATAGATAGATAGATAGATAGATAGATAGATAGATAGATAGATAGATAAACGGTGTTGGCTGTAGGAAGAAATAAATAAATACATATTTAAAAGAACATCTAAAGGCAGATGGCCTAGGTGGGTCAAGTAGATGAACCCAAAGATCTAAACTCCAAGAGAATTAAAATAATGTTGTCCATGGCCAGATCTGGGAGTAGCATACATAACTGATGCCCAAATTCGATTGGTCAGAAAGAGGGGGAGGAGAATAGTCCCTCCCAAAATCCATGCCCATCCTGGAATCTCAGAATGTGCCTGGCCTACTGATGTGCGTGTGTGGGCCCCAAGGCAAGATCACGTTGGATTCAGATGGGCTCTGAATCCAGTGTCTGGTGACCTGAAAAGATGACAAAACATGGAGAATAAGGTCTTAGGATGATGGAGGGAGAGGTCTGAGTGGGGTATCTACAAGCCGGGGAAGCCCAGGGGTTGCTGGGAGCCACCAGAAGCTGGAAAAAGACATGGGGCCAAAATCAGCCTGAGAGCCCCCAGAGGGACCCAGACCTTCCTACACCTTGCCTTTGAGAACACCATGGTTTGTTGAAGCCGTCACGTTCACTATGGTGACCAGAGGAAACTAAGACAGCGGTCTTTTCAAGAGGTTGCAATTCAATTAAGTGTGAAGTGTTGGCATAGAGCAGTGGTTCTCAACCTTCCTAATGCCATGACCCTTAAATACAGTTCCTCGTGTTGTGGTGACCCCCACCCATGAAATTGTTTTCATTACTTGTTCATCACTGTAATTTTGCTACTGTTATGAATCATCATGTAAATATCTGATAGGCAGGATATATTTTCATGGTTACAAATTAAATATTAAAACGTAGTGATTCATTTACAAAAACAATATGTAATTCTATATTGTGAAATATTGATTTCTAATGACAAATAAATGAAATTTGTCT